ATAAATAAATAAGGCGCAATCAGAATAATTCTGCAAGAAAGCTGATAGGTGACAGAGCAAACTTTCCGGCATTTATCATTGCAGAGCAAGTAAAAATTACAAGTAAGGATACAGATGTGCGCTGCGGCGGGAGGCCAAGCTGAAAAGAAACACATGCGAGGTGGTTCATTCAGTACGTACTTCTTGAGCCAAATCCACCAAAGTGCTCGAAAGCTTCCGTAGGATATATTTCCATACGAAGCCAACCCTCCCAAACACTTCAGTGAGGGAGCTTCATTTAACCGAGCTTCCAAGAGCGATAAACTGTGATGAAAAATACTCTCCATAAAAAGAGAGTCGTCAGGCTGAAAATGTTATATCACTTGAAGTTGCTAAAGCTTATGGTGTGATTCAGGTTTGCGCTCATCAGCGTACTATAAGCATTACCAAACAGTACATCTTCTAAGAGAGCAAAAACATCCTTTCGATATGTTTTTTCATTGCTCAATTTCATTCATCAATTCTTGATCTCATGTTTTCCGAAATTTTCGACTTTCAGGACTTCGGTCTTGTGGAGGTACCAAAGAATGAATACGGGCAATTCTACACTGGCGACTCCTACATTGTTATGAATGTGAGAACGTTTATACACATGTTAAATGTAATATTACAGATGATATGTACACAGCGTAATTGCAGACAAAATGGAATGCATGGGATATACATTTTTGGCTAGGCCAAAACGCTTCACTTGACGAGATTGGAACTGCGGCCATGAAGGCGGTTGAGATTGATCAAGCCTTGGGTGGCATCCCGGTACAATACAGAGAAGTCCAAAATCACGAAACACCGCTCTTTCTTTCGTATTTCCCTGATGGAATCAGGTCAGATTGTAAAACTTTTTTTTCAGCTTACAACCAGTATGAATAAAGTATTCAGATATATGGCGGGCGGATATGACAGCGGATTCCACAAAATAGAAGATATGTTCAAGAATTGGAAACCGAAGCTATTCCACTGCAAAGGAAAGAGGAACGTTCGCTGCACGCAGGTGACTGCTTCAAAGCGACCATTCATGATTAAGAAATGACGTAAATTCTAACAGCTTCCTGGTTATGTTCCCTCTAAGATGTGGAAAAAATTAGTGAGGGTCGTTAGCGCTCAGTCTGACGGCCACTTTGATGGCTTTTCATTTTTTGCGAGCTCTTTAGCAAAGTACTAGGTTGTCCTCCTCTGCCATCGAGCATTATCAACACTCAGTCATTTAGCTCTTTTGACAAGTCGCTTTCTTATTCTACCTGAGACAGCAGCATCAAACTATCTGTGAATCCTCTTAACGACATCTCAATATCCTCTCGTTCTAACATAACTAGTAGAGCTCCTCATAGGGTGCAAAAACACTTATTATATTTTTCTGGAATTCATGTTCAATTGCGCAAAGGATGAGAAATCATTGCCACAGCGCGACTCCGAACTCAAACTCCACTCAGTCTCCAAGTCGGATAGATGACTTTTGCGATACCGTCGTACTTACCATTTGATTTTTATTTCGCATCTATTCAGTCCGAAAAACTATTCTTCCATTTCGATAGTCACTTATCTATGGGGGCATTCCCACTCGGACGTTCAGTTTCTGAAGCGTGAATCAGTCCGACGTCGGCAGTCAGAACGAGTTACCTCAATTCCTTATGACTTCTCTTACTTTTCAAGGCAAGCTTCGGGATAAAATAGGTATGCAAGAGAGTTCAGTTATGAAGCTGGCGGTGGGGATGCATCTAAGAAGAAAAAGAATAAAAAAAAACACCCGGTTACGCCTCGAACGAGGTTTCCCTCGCTCTTTCCACTTTGTTTTCATGAATGGACAGCTAAAGTGCCAATGCTACTTGTTGGCTCTAGGCCAGCAATCGGTACGGATATAGTATGTTGGCGCAATGGATAGGATTTTGTCGTAGACGAACAATTCATGCGAGGTTTCCTTTCTCTTTTGGGCCTTTCTTTATCCTATTTTCCAAATCGTACATTTGTTTTTGGTGTGGACTCAGTACGACGATACAGGAATGATGAAAGAATATTAATCGTACGACCGTCTGCCGCGAGCAGTACGATGGAGATCGCTCAAGGAACGAACGTGCCACAACACCTGATCTCGCTGGTGAAGGACAAGCTGAAGGAGCCAAAGCAACCATGCGCACCCCTCACGGCCTAACAAAGAAGATAAACATCACGGTTGGGGTGCACCAAGGGTCAGCTCTGAGCCCGTCCCTCTTCCTCCTTGCACTAGATGTCCTGGTTAAGGCCTCATGGAGGGACTACTGAAGACCATCCCCTACGCTGACGGCATCGCCTTGACAGCGTAGGGGATGGACAGCAGAGAGGAGCTTCAGCCAAGGTGCAGAAATGGCAGAAAGTCCTTGTAAAAGGCGGGCTCCGGCTGAATGTCAGAAGATCAGGTTTCTGAGCCCCGAAAAGGGTGCAGGGTCGATTGTGGGCGGCTATGATGAGACCATCGAAAGAGTGGAGGACTTCCGCTACAGCCGAAGGTGGTGTGGATCAGACAGTGAAGGTCGAGTCAGCGCTGCGTGGATGAAATGGAGGAAGGACTGTGCACTGGAATCCTCTGCAATCGAAGGTGCTCCAGAGCGCTCGAAGTGAAAGTGTACCGGACAGTGGTGAGGCCTGCGATGCTATCCGGTAGCGAGTGTTGGCCCCCGAACAAGAACCACGAAAGGCACATCCACTCCGCTAAAATGAGGATGCTGAGGTGGGCCTGCGGCTGGACGCGGCTGGACAGGGTCGGAAACGAGGATACCAGAGCGGTCATGCAGGCTGCCCTGACCACTGAAGATGCGAGAGCAGCGCCTTTGGTGTGGGCACGTGCTAAGGAGGCCACAGGATCATTCGTTAAAGAAAGCGATGGACTTCGAAGTGCAAGGCAAGCGACCGCAGCGACCCAGGAGCCCCTGAGAAGGGGTGGAGAACGTAATCAAGAAAGACCTGGTGAAGACATGGCCACAGCAGAGGACGCTCTGGACAGATTAAAGTGGCGACGACTGACAAAAGCAGCAGACCCTGCGACTGAGCGGGACTAACGCTAGGGAAAAGAAGAAGAACAGGGAAGTACACTAGTAAAAAATACTGAGTAGACATAGATAGGAGATGAGGTGTAATTCAGAAGAATTTAGAAAAAAAGATAACCACGGTCCCAATGAGCTTTCAAGAAATGGGTCCAACGACTCTCAACGCCACGATAGAGGTGCGCAAAGTTGAGCTGCAATGCTAAAACTACCGCAGCTGTGGTCGAGCGCTTCTCGCAGCGTCAGCGTGAGGCCGACGTCATAGTTTGCGAATCGAGCGATTCGCTAGCGAATCGCTGGATCCGAGCGTTGTACCAGCGAATCAAACTTTGCACCAGCGAGTCGAACTCTTCATCAGCAACTCAGTATTGGCGGGACCCAACGTTCAAAGGAAGCCCACCACTTTCAAACAGTGTCACGTGACAGTGAACCCCTTTTGAAAGTGGCTGGATTTGACAGCGGACGCTGTTTGAAAGTGGCGGGCTTCCTTTGAACGTTGGGTCCCGCCACTATTGAGTTGCTGGTACCTAGTTCGACTCGCTGGTACATAGTTCGTCTCACTGGTGCAAAGTTTCGCTGGTGGAATTTCGATTCGCTGGCGCATCGCTCGGATTTCGATTCGCAAACTATGACATCGGTCTGACAGCGACGGCGGATGGTGGGGCTTGCGGAGTAGGGTGTGATTGCGGGTGGAGCGCGTTTTCCGCGCAATCGCAAGCTGCATAGGGGAACTAACATCAACACTCGCCTGTCTGTCTACCGCGATCGGGGATCGAATATGTGGGCATGCCTAGTTCCGGAGCATAACTTTGATTCGATCCCACCCTATCTTATCAACACGAACAACGTACTTACTGCTTTAGGTTTATTATCTTTGGGTCTTCTAGCTCAGTCATCAAACCAGGTCATCATTAGTTATCAAGCCAACTATTAGGTTGTCCCAAAACTTCGAGCCACTTCTAAATATTTTTTCGAATTGACATTACTTCAAGAAAAAGCACTATCCATCATAAATAAGTAGACTATCACCCTCACTGACTCGTTGCCACCGATCAGTGAGGGGTCAATGTGATTTTCCCAGGAAGTCAGCAGTTTCTAGGTGATGAAATCAATGAGGTCGATTTCAAGGTCCTCATTTTTTCACTCGTAAGATGATGGCTCAGCGAGAAGAGTAGCTGGCCTTTGGAAGGAGGCTGATCACCTCTGCATGGGGCAGCTGCAGGATTTCTGAACCAAACTTCGAAATCTAGAGAAGGGTCATTTTTAAAACACGTGGCCTCAGCTGTCGTTGAGCGGAGACATTTCATTGAAATTTGGGCGTATTAGTCGTAGTTTTCTGGCCAGCATTGATCGCTGATTACAGCAGTCCTGGGGTGTTACAAAGTCAATGTTGGGAGAAACTTCTAGTGGCTAGTTTGATTAGCTTCCCATACGTAAACCAAAACGTTTTGCTGAATTTGACACTTTTTCATAGAACAAATACTTCACTCCAGCAGTAGCGGCGATCTTCTGCGTTGGCGTTCGTAGGGATGGAACACGATAAGAGTTGTTAACTGAATTCGTGGCGTACTGTTGTGATTACTGCTCAGTTCATTTCTTTGTCCAAGCCTATGTTTTTGCTTCCATCCTCCAGAGTAGGGCACACCATTGTCAACTGTGTACCTAAATATCTTAGTGTGGCGGTCGCATATCAAATTAACTGGTGCGGGTTAGTGAAGGGATAGCACAGGCGGTGCACGTTGGGCACCGATGACCTTCCTGGACAAGGATTTCTCCAGGCTGTAGTCTCCACAGCGACGCAGTTTTGGCCATTTTGATACGCACGGTGAACGATGACAAAAGATGAATTGCAATGGAAAAGTTACTCCTGGCTCAGATCGGCTTGCGGCTTAGTAGAAATTCGTAAATCAAAATGTGAAAAACATGGCTCCCTCGAACGAAAAAATCATCTAGACCAGCATGAGCTGCTTTGGGTTACTTCCCATAGTAGGCTTATAGCAGCCTACTTGGTCACATTTAGGAATCGCTATATGGTGTTCTGACATGAAGTGCAAAAAAGTGGCGCGAACTTGTGGGACAATCTGATATTTTGCCCTTTTACTGACCCGTCCAGACGACGCGGACTGCTGATTGTTCTCAATGGTCAGTGGACAACGTTGGCTAATTCGTGGCCGGAATCGGACTCACCTTGTGGCACTCTTGTAGATAATCAGCTCTAAACGCGTTTGATGGAATCATTCTTGTAGTTAATATTTTTCGAACATAGTTACATAGAAACAGACAACGTTTTTCCTGCACACGATCAACGCATCTCGATTGAAGATTGTTGCAGGTTGAATTCAAAAAGGAGTCACTGAACCGAGGAGATGTGTTCTTACTGGATCTTGGCAAAGAGATTTACGTCTGGATGCCGCCAGAGAGTGGGCGTCTCGAAAGAATCAAGGTCATTTTGAAAGCACTCTAAAAATCATGTACAAATTACTAAAAATTAATTTCCAGGGAATGACTCGAGCTAAGAATATCGCCGATCACGAGCGAGCAGGACATTCCAAAGTTTATATTCTAGGTGGGAGATTCGATATACTAAAGGAAATATTGAGGCATTAACGTTATGTCAAATTCAGATTCTGACTGGGACACAGATGAAACTTTTTGGTCCTACTTTGGAGGTCTAGGTGCGGTCAAGAGCATCGCTAAAGCGAAAGAAGATGACGAAGGCTATTGGAAACGAACAACGGAGAAGGTGACATTGTATAGGTAAGCCGAATGTGGCCTGATTATGTGACCGTGCACATTTATCTGCTGTATAGGCACGTCAAAAAGAGCTGGAAATTAATGTTAGTTTTTTTCTGTACAACTCTAGATGAAAGATAATCACTCACATTTTACTTCCATTCAGGATTTCATTGGCCCTTTGAGTGAAATTTGCCCGGCGCACGCGTTGTCTACTGATGCGCTAGAGTTTTTTTGTGCTCCCAGACGAGAATGGCACCAAGCAACGACTCCAGAGGGAAGAGAGGCTTGGTTGGCCTTATCACCGTGCGACCCAATATTTGATTTTGAGACCGTGCGCGCGGTTAGCAGCGCATTATCCACTGCTTCACTTGCACCCAGTGAATCAAGTCGAGGCAATTGCTCTGTCAAAAGCTTCTTTGTTAGCAGTTGCGCATTAATACAATTTATTTGTTTTTTACTATAACGCTAACCTTCATAGGTGTTTGTGAAGTCGATAGTTCCTTGGACTCCATGTATTGTAACATCAACGCAAGATTCTGCTCAAAATTGATTTGCTACTCTAATAACCATGTGAGGGAGGGGGGTGCGCAGACAAAAGGGCGTCAAGAAAATTACAATTCATTTTTTGGCCGTCCAGCGCTCACGTTACTTACCACAAAATATGTATAAGGCTCTCCAGGGGAGATTTCTATTCCATGTAGCCTCTATTTGGCGAGAGGCGATGAACTATTTCGTTCAGGGTATCGGATGCTTCTGGTGCGATGAAGGTCGCCAAAGTTGCTCAGGGAGAAATAAAGCGCAGTCAGTTGGATTCAAAAGTGAGTTGACCCATAGCTACTCCTCCAACTTCACATTTATCACATGGATTTGCAGGGCTAAGAAAATTAGAGAACTCAGACACCGTTTGAGTTTCTCAGTGGTTCATTTGTCTGCGACTTCCGTCAGTTTCTGCTTGCGCCGCACATTTCCTAATATCTGGTCTCATACGGTGACGGAGTCCTGTAATTTTGTTGGAAATGGGGATTTCTATGGTGCTCTTACTGTGATCCCCTACCCTCCCCCTCGTTTTTGGGTCTAGACATCTACGTCAACTTCGTAGACATATGAGACTTTCTAATATTATATGTATTATACCCAGATTTTTCATTTCGAGTTTTTGAATACGTGTTTACTTGGATCTAGGATGCGTTCATTCTTGACGCGATTGTTGGTGGAGTTTTTGTGTGGATCGGCAAGGAGTGCACTATGGACGAACGTGCGCAGGCCATGCTTATGGGATCAAAATATTTGAAAGAAAAGGTTGTGGTTTATTCTAAAGCTGTCCTGATTTGAATTACTTCAACCACGATCCAGAATCTTCCAACGTACACGTCAGTGACTCGAGTGCTGGAATCAGCTGAACCGCAGTCATTTATACAATGGTAAAGATTCAGAATTGAACTGAATATTCCGTGTGATTCTCTACAAGTTGCAAAGGAAAAATTACTTCGAAATGATCCTAACCATCCGCAGGTTTGGAGAATGGATCGATGACAAAACGAAAAAGACCTTCGAACCACGTCTGTTCCAAGTTTCGGATGAGTCCGGAAAAATGGTCGTAGAAGAAATTGCCAACTACAATCAGGAGGTAACCAATTTCGGCACTATGGCACCATTACAATACTAGTGGGGGTAAAACGGGTCAGAATTTCTTTTCGCTGAAACTTCTCTATGGGGGTAATCGAGGCGTTCTATCACGAATATGACATCCATTTTAAGCGCTGGTACCTGTTTGCACCGCATTCGCTGTAAAGTGGTGTGAGGGTTATTTGGAGTTCTGGCTACGAATAGGAAATTTCTTATTGGTATTCACGCTCTTTAAGCTGATTTTCTGCTTTTCTGGACTCTCTCACTAATAGCTCCTAAGACTGAGCCTAGAGAAGAGAGATGAGACTCCGTAATGGGTAAACCACATAACGTAGCAGAAATTGAAGTGCATAGATCATGGGGTGAGTGGCTAGTCACTTCGGAGCAGGGTCAACCGCCTGTTGCGCAAAGAACAATGAGGGGGTCGTATTGGCTTGATTGGCCGAACGAAAAGGGAGGGGTTATTTACTCAGGGTCAGGGACCCGCAGGAAATGCACTGAGAGTAGGATTCCAAGTATTAGTACACCGCATTTACAATCGCAATGCTGTCACCGTCTCCACGGGAGCGGAGGACAATCATATGCTGGTGCGACTGCTTATCACAAGTAGGTGCACGGAGTACCCTGAGCAGGAGTTTTCACGTCAGAACGCTTTGTCTGTCAGCGGCCGTAAGCAGACAAAATTCCTCAGAGAATCTTGATGTCTTCAGAAAAAATCTAAGTGGAAGAAAGTTAGAACTTGCTTAATTGACTTCTAGGGACCTCCTTAAAAATTCTGGCAGAAGAGAGCCTTTCAGAAAATTTTTTGCATACGTTGTAAAGCATTCTTCATGTAGACTCCGACAGTTTTTACAGCTTCTCATTGTATGAACTTTGAAGGAAGTTATAGGCGTTTGAAGCTTGCGACATCGCGTTTCAGGTAAATGGCTTGAAAAAGTCAAAGAAAAAAAAAACAGAACAACGAACGGGTTTTGAAAGAGTGATTGCTTGGAAAGATTTAGCTTTGATTCGAAAGCATTTGTCTTCTAGTTTCATTAGCTCTGGAACTCTGCAAAAAGTCGATATAAGGGAGGTAAAGAACGTTTAAAGTCGAAAACTGGCGCCTTCTCAAAAATCGGACCACAGACCGTGGAAGAATGTCAGGTGCTCATTTGGAAGCGCTGATCCTCTAATTTCTAAATAGCTTTGAAATTTGCAAAAAGTTGATAATGAAGGAAGTCATGAATGTTCGAATGTCGAAAACTTGCGTGTGCAAAAAACGGAACAACGGGACGATTTTCTGAAGAGATGAACCTTTGCAACATTTTAAAGACTTTTTAGAAAGACTTCCATCCCATCCGACAGATCGCTTTCGAAGAAAAATATAACCTTCTGAATAGAGGGGTTCGTATTGTAACACAACTGCTCTATGGTTTTGTTATTCAGGTTATAAAAGAAGGAGAATTGAGAGATGAAAAAAACTTTGTAGGCTTTCTGAAAGAAGAAGTCTCTGTGATCGACATCATATATTGGATAACGCAAAAATTTGGAAGTTACCTTTACTTAATGAACAAATTTCTGCCTTGATTCCCTCCACTGAGCGAGACAAAGCGCGCGGATTGACCACGGTCCACCACTTCTCCGTCTGTGACTGCCCATACATCAATGATGAGCATTAAATCAGGGTCGGCCGTCACGTTGGACCAATTCCGAACGACCCCCCTCCCCCCTCTAGAGGGCCACGATGCGATCCCCCTCAGGGTTAACCCCTCACGACCATCCTCCGCCACCCTCGCCTGGCATCGCCATCATAGGGGCATTTTATGTATAGTTTTGATTCTGAGGCCAGTCGACACAGCCCAACTCCGCCTACTTTTCCATCCTGAATTGCGGGGGGGGGGGAAGTACCCCTAATACGCTCTACGTTCAAAATCACCTCCTACGGTGCTTTAACATTGACGCTACCTCGCGAAATACGATCCCCTCTTCTCCACTCCCAAATACGACCCCCACCCCCCGTTGGACAAAGCTTTGGAGCCCTCCACCTTGCGAAGGCTTGGTATTGATTGCGATCTACAGGGTGGGCCAAAATTGTGAGGACCGCGTGCGCGATCATATCCCCTTTTTCGAGTAGTTTGAAACAGGGTCAACCGCCCGTTGCGCAAAGAACAACGAGGCGGTCGTATTCGGGACGAAAGGGGAGGGGGTCGTATCTAAGGAGACGGGGCGGCGGCTTGAAAAGTGCAGTGTCCTGCAGTGCACACTCACGTTCTAATTATCTCCAGGAGCTCTGCACCGTGAGCTGTAGGAGAGTCACACAGGCAAGAGCTCCATGGGAGCATTGGAGCATGCAGAGCATTCTAAGTGTCCAGCCATTATTATCTTTAATACACGAACGACGCTTTCACTTGACAGCATAGATCAAGATTACAATAGCGAAAAACATTGTTACAGCGCAATGCAAAAACATGGTCTGTCTTCGTGATCGAACTTTCCTGAAATCCCAAATAGAACAAAGTGTAGAGCAGTTTATGGGGGAGTGAAACATGAGTACCATATGACAGTACGCTGCAACTTAGTCACGGTACTAACACCTTCTGCAGGAAAATGGAAGACTTTCAAATGCGAATTCGACTTCTGTCTACAGACATGTGCACGGCGTATACCCGAGCAGGCTTTTTCTCATAAAAAAGGGCTTTTCTGTCGCGGCCGTGAGCAGAAAAACTTTCTGAAGAGATCGATGCGTTCAAATCAAATCTAAGCGGAACAAAGTGTAGAGAATTTGCTGAATTGAATTATAGAGACCCCTTAGGAAAACCGAAGCAGAAGAAAGAATTTCAGGAAAGTTTCACACCTATTATGAACCACTCTTCAACTGGATTCTAACAGTTTTTACCGCTTCTCATCACATTAATTTTGAAGGAAGTTATGGCCCTTTAAAGACTGCATATCGCGTTCCAGGAAAATGGCTCGAAAAAAATCAAGGTGGAAAAAACGGAACAACGGGACTATTTTTTGAGCGAGTAATTCTTCAGAGAAGTTTTAACAGACATTCGAGAGCTCTAATCTTCCAGTTTCTGAATAGCCTTAGACATCTGCAAAAAGGTAATTATGAAGAAAGCTATGAACGTTTGAATGTCGAAAACTCGCGCCTTCTCAAAGATCGGACCACAAACCCCCCAAAAACGGAACAACGAAACTATTTTTTGAAAGAGCGGTAGTTGGGAAAAGGTCAGGTGCTTGTCTGAAAGCGCTAATCTTCCTGTTTCTAATTGGCCTTAGACATCTGCAAAACGTTGAATATGAAGAAAGTTATGAATGTTTGAATGTCGAAAACTCGCGTGTGCACAAAAAACGGAACAACGGGACGATTTTCTGAAATATAGAACATTCGTAAAATTTCAAATACTTTTTAAGAAGAAAACTATTTGAAATTTTGAAATTTTTTGTGTCCGGTTCCATGAGACCAAAAATATAACCTTCTGAATGGAGGGGTTTGGATTGCAACGTAATTGCTACAAAGTTTAGTTTTTCAGATTATAAAGCAAGGAAAATTGAGAGATTGAAAAGAATTTGGTAGGTTTCTGAAAGTAGAAATCCTTGTGATTATTACTGTATTGGTTGACGCAAAAATTTAGAAATTCTTTCTATTTGGTGAATACAACTTCATGTTGTCTCGATTCCCTCCTCTGAGCGAGACCGAGCGCGCGGATTGACCACGATCCACGACTTCTCCATGTTGGTGACTGCCCACACATCAATGAAGAGCATTAAATTATGCCAAATTCGTAATAGTTAATACGGGGGGGGGTCGTACCGATACCCTCCGAAAAAGAAGGGGGTCGTAAAAATTTAGGAATTTGCGCAACGCAGGGTTGACCCTGGTTTGAAAGTGTACAGTGCCTTTTTCCTACTAAAACCAAATATCATGCAGTCCTCAGGACTAGTGAAATAACCACATCACCTTACGTCAATCCTCAAATTGAACTCACTAGGGGCTCTGGCACGTTACGTTTAGTGGCAGTCCAACGTATCAGGAAAGCACTTATGATCAACGGTTCAACTATTGGACAAGTTCGGAACCAACACAGATAGGACTCGAAAGTTTGGGGACTCGAAAGTTACAGTTACCACCAGGACAGTTATCAGATACAGAAACTAGCTCTCCTCTTGTCAACTTTCGTACCCCCGATATGAAAAAATCGAAACCCAGTCATACACTCTAAAGATGTCAGATCTTCAGTGGATAGGGAGCCACTAGAGAACTCTACTTGGGACTTTTTACAGGACCGAGCATCCGAGAATACAGCGAAATTCCTCTAATAGCGATTCGAGTTCGTTGCTTTCGAAGTATTGTGACATTGGAACTTTCTACCTTATTCTAGTTTTCTGTATTTTACACCCTGGAGGCAAGCGCAAATAAGCCACACAAAACTTTGATTTCCTGAAGAAAGCAGAGCAGAAGGTTTGGAAACATTTTGACACGCCTCAGTTGCGTGTCACCCACACGCCATCCCCCTTTATCTGAAGGATCGTGTAAACGCGGCATATGCGGATCACAATTCTATTCTGGATTTACTCTGGGATGAGAGTTGCAAACACTTTCCTGAAGTTTGTTGGTTCCATTTAGCTACTACGCGTTTTTAACGACACAATGTCTTCAAATGGTCTTCATAATTTTGGCCCCGCGCCGAATAACTCCATCGACAAAAACGAATGTCGTATTTGTAATCAGGGCCCCAAATAATCCCTACACACAAGTCAACAGTGTACTTGGTGGGAATCAGTCGTGGCATCACTTGTATGTCATCAAATGGCGTCAGTTTGACGCCACCGCTCAAAACGAATGTCGTGTTCGTGATCTAGACCCCCGATGATCACCATAGGAGAGGTTCCAGCACAAAATTCTACCCATCTCACCCCTGCTGGGGTGCAATAAGGCCCCGATTTCTGTCAACTGTGATGATACCACTATAAGTAGTAAATGCTGTATGGCTCGTTTTGTATACGAGAAAGTATGAAGCGCTACCGTGATTGGCGGATTACTTGTTACAGTACAATCGCCGGTAAGTTTTCCCTAAATGAAGTGATCCAATTTCTGCCCTGCAGCTGCCAATGCATCTCTATCTAACCGTATTTTCGTCAAATTTTAGAGCCTCGATGGCGATGATGTTATGATTGTTGATGCTCTCAACATCATTTATGTGTGGATTGGAGCTGGTGCTAATCTGAACGAAAAAAAGAATGCTCTACAAACAGCTGAGGTGAGTTGGAGTCCACAGCTCGATGCGGGCAGGATTTGACTCAGTGTAGCGACTATCGCAACCCTCTCCGCTCTCCGCGATTGATGTGGAGATCAGCATGCTCTCTTTCGTGTTTTGCTTTCCTGGCCCATCCGCCCTCCTTCGTACCACACTTGGCATACTTCAGTTTTCCGGAGTTTAGACCCTTAATTCTGACGTTTTCAATGATTTCGCTTCCTTTTATCTACTTTGAGTTTTCCACAGCCAAGAAAAAAATGGTTATTGTGTCATGTGAATGGATCAATTCTCGTCAAAGACGGTGAACGCGATAATCACATGTTGAGCAAATATTGAAAAAGCAATGCTTATTGGTACACCACTAAAGAAACTAGACCAGGAAAGAAAAACTCGAAAAAAGTGACTCGAAAATTCCAAGGAATAGGCCCTACTTCTCGTGATTGACTTTGGACGAGTTTACAGGCCCGAAATTTTTTAGAGAGATTACACTAACAGAAAATACGACCTAACAAGATTACGCTAGGGGTGTTTAAATTAGGTTCAAACCGAATCAAATTCATGAAATACGTCCTAAAAATAAAAATTGTGGGGTTTTTATAAGAAAATACCGCGAAACCTTCAACCGCCTTTGATCGGGACAATTTCAAGGCAGGTGCCAAATTAGGATTTTGAACACGATAGCCTTACAACTAGAAGGGACGGTGGTAAAGTACCATAAATTAGCAATCGAATGTGGTGACTCCCATTGTTGAGGAATGAATCCGTCAGATTCACCACACTACCTGCAAAACTTCAACACTCTCGGACTTGATCCCTAGATGATAGGATTAGCCCGGGTTTTTACCAGTGCACCAGTATCCCTCTACGTCAGCACTGGAAGAAATGTCGACGACAGGTAAGCAGCGGATGTTGTTTGCAAATCTAGAATTCACGCAGCGTCGAGCCATTGGCACTTCGCCATGGTGGATGTGATGAGCATCTCCACGTTGCCTGCAAAACTTGCGTCACACTTGCAACATCACGTCGTTGCAAAGTCTCAGGAGGCATCGCTGCCACTGCAGCCCTTTTTCTCGATGTTGAAAGAGTTGTAGGGAAAAGGAGTAGCTCACAAAGTTGTGTAGTTTTGGACATCTCGTAGTATTGTTCCTCCTATAAATCCATACCAATGTAGAACGAAGAGGCTACACCATTGACGCGTTCCCTTTTCACCAACCTTAGACCCTTACCCATTAGGAAATAGCTATATTCGCTTTCAGTGCTCATAGCTCAGGAGTTCATCCTTCAAATTTGGTGGGTGTGAAACTCTACTTAAACAAACTTCTGCAGTAGAAAACTCGTCTTTTAACTTTATTGCGACTCCTTCCAGAAGTACTTGAAATTTGGCAACTTGCCACGTCATGAAAAAACAACAATTGAAACGGTTTATCAAGGCAAAGAAACTCCGACTTTCAAAAAGCTGTTCCCGAAATGGGACGATGAACTATTCCATGGGGTGAGTCACTCGCTTCTAAAATCAAAATGTACAGTAGTGGCCGGAAATTTATAAAAAGACGGTTTTTTTTGAGAAATTCTTCTCGCAAAATCGCTGACTCCTCTCCAAATTTGAAACAGTCACTAATTCACCATCAGCTGAAACAGGGGCTTGAAAGATTATGTATTTTTCGAATTTACTGGAGGCAGGTCAAAGATCACATAATCCGTTTATTTGAATAAAATAACGTATGACTTAACAGAAAAATCAAGTTAACAGTCACAAACATTATCTGGCACATTGCCCAGAATCTCTAAAGTCTTGGATGCATAAATTGGGTTTAAGTGGGGAGTCAATTAATGAACTCGCTCTAGTGGGGACCTCTCTGTAAGCGCTTATTTTCGTGACTCTTTCATTGATATGCGTCTTTGTAGCCCCTCCTTTAGTGTTTCCGTAATGTTTAGCTCAGGAGTCTGGCCTGGCTGGCTCATTAAAATCACTCCATGTTGATGAAACCACTCCTGCATGTGAGAGACACGATGCTTTGAGAAAGCTGCTCTGCCGTCAAACAAAGTCAGGTCGTGCGACAGGAATACCTACGGATGCATAACACCTTCCAAAACATGAAAGCAAACGACTGCCTTCATCACTCCCTCAGCCGTCTAGCGTGGTCCCACTTTTTTCCAAGGCAACCTTACCAAGCCTCCGCCAAGTTTCACAATTGGCAGCTGATTCTATGGATCAAAACGTTCCCTCTCGTGGTGCCGCACATTACTAGTATCCTTGCTGTCAAGCACCATTAATATGTTTTTGTCATTCCAGATGAACTTAGAAACCCGTATCAACCTTCGTTTCAGGCTTGGTCAATGGCACTCTAGTTCCACTCATTTCACAGCGAGCGCTCTTCTTAGACTTTGAGAATTAATGAAAACGTAGTATATACTTAGATTCTAGAAGGTGTTATGTATCCGTAGATATGGCTGTCACACGACCTGACTTTGTCTGTCAGCAGAACAGCGACTCAAAGCATCGTGTCACTCACATGCAGGAATGGTTCCGACAGCATGGAGTGCTTTTAATGAGCCAGCCAGGCCAGAATCCTGAGCCAAACATCAAGAAACCACTAAGGGAGGAGCTACAAAGTCGCATGTCAATGTTTCACGAAAATAAGCGCCTCCACAGAGAGACCCTCACTAGTGGGCGTGTTCATTAATTGACCCCCCCCCGCTTTAACCCAATTTATGCATCCAAGGCTTCAGAGATTTCTGGACAATGTGCTAGACTTGCGCAATATTTGTGACTGTTTACTTGATTGTTCCGTTGGGTTATACGTTATTTTATTCAAATAAACGCATTACGTGATCTTTGACCTGCTTTCAATGAATTCGAAAAATCTATAGTTCTTCAAACCCCTGTTTCAGCTGAAGGTTAATTAGTAACTGTTTCAAATTTGGGGACGATTCAGCGACTTTGCAAGAAGAAATTCTCAAAAAACCGTCTGTTTATAAATTTCTGGCCGCTACTGTATGTATTACATGATTTATCCAAGTAGTACGTTTCAAAAATTGGAACCAGGATTAAAATAAATTTACAAAACTTTTCAGGATCAACGCACGGTAGAACAGATGAGAAAGCAGCTCTTCAAATGAGAAGTGTTCCCAGTGAATCTGTAAATTAACATTTCCATTTGTACCTTGTAACTTCTTTCTGACTCAACGGTATCATGCCTTATTTCTTGTCTCACAATGGTGTATTAGTCTTTGTATAAATGTCTTCTCTTGTAATAAAGTATTGTTTCCTGACTAATTAAGAAAAACAACAAATTCGACGACCTTAACTTACACTCACTTTTGGTCACAACTTTCCAGAACAATGGGAGAGCTCTCCTGCTCGCAGCTGTCCATCTCACGAGGGGTAGTGTTTAATCCGGGCCAGGATCGAAGCAATTACACACTCATCCTCTTAGGAATGCCAAGGTTACCCTGATGACACCCTCGATGTCTTATGCATATGTATCTATCTTGTTGTGATAGTAAGCCCACCTTTTCTGCGTTGGAAAGTAACTGGTAGCCGAAGCATGCGTTTTCTTAGAGCTCTAGAGCTCCTCCAGGCTCCATCTAAGGATGCTTATCAAGGAAACGATGATAATTTGAAAGTGGAACTTCGGCCGAACTTATTCGTCTAGTTGACTTATAACAGAATTGTAGTGTAGCGGCAGAGACTTCTTCTTCAAGGCTTTGCTGTCATTTTTCATTGAGCTCCACTTGTACCCCTTATCATGGACAGAATCACTACACACAATTAGCAGCACTCTGCGACTACTATTTTGACTAATTCGATACCGGGCTGCTTAGGCCTCGGTCACTCCTTCTCCTTTCCGCACAACTCTTTCGAAGTCCTTCTTTAGCCGCGGAAGAGCTTTCCTTCGTTCTCATGCATCTCAGCTGCTACCAAACTTATTCGAAATCGTTTTTCGTTTGTAAACTTTCATTGGAAGCCGACACTTTTGCATCAATCTTCAAATGGTATTCTTTATATTACTGAAAATCACTCGAAATAGCTCTTTGAGCTGGCCTGATGTAGTGTTCTTTGCTCTCAAGGTTCAGTGGTGTAGTTGAGGTGTTAGGTCGCGTAATCGCTCCGATCCTTTCAGACTCTGAAGAAGATCCTGCTGAAACGCCAACCGCTAATAAAAATCAGTAACAAATTTGTTAAGTGTTAAAACAGAGAGCTATAGTTTCTTTTGAATTTAGTTGTTGGTTTGGTTTAGTTTTCATGTTCGTTTTTATTTGCTGATGATACCGAAAAAGTAAACAGGAAAATAGATCGCTAAGTAAATGAATGGAAAACCCACATATCATTAATATTAAACCGAGAATGGATTCAACCTTTCTATGACAAAAAAGTCTCCAGTCGGTTTCTTACAAAATCTCTGCAGCCTCTATTAGTAGGGCTGCACAATATCCTAAGCTACTGACAAATCATAAGATGGAAAGCTTGCTGAAAAATGCACTTGAACCAGAGTATTTGTAGGTGATCCCTAATAAAACCTGATTTTCCAATAAATTTTAGTGCGATAGCATCATTGAGATGCAGAATGCTTGGATTTGTTTGCTGCTGATAACAGCAGTATCAGTTGTTTTCCTTGCCATTGTAACTTTCTGCAATGTTAACTACTATCTTATCTGAAGGAATCACGAAGCCCTTCTTCCCTCCCCTCTTGCCCCTTGTCAGGCGATCATTGTTGGACGCGTGGATACACCAATTGAGGCGAGCGGATTTAGAGAGATATGTCTTAGAAACCCTCGTTTCCGTTGATATTTGAACTGAAAGAGGTACAGTCATGAAATGGTTGAACAGGCTTCTCGAGAAAGGTGTTCAGTTCGATATATCGAAGAAACTGCCTCTGTTTCATGCCTGCTCATCTATTCGGCCCCATTAAAACAAATCGAAAATCCCAGAAGGGATTAACTCGCTCTCAACTTCATCCGTGTTTTCTTTGTGGTTACGTTTTCCTAGCCGTGTCGTTAGAAGCCGTTTGGGTGGGTGGATGGATCACTTCTTTCTTCCGAAGTCCGTCACGTCACCATCGGTGGGGCCTCAAACAACAACAGGTCGGGATTTTGAGACACCTGTTACTTTTCAAACTCTCCAAAATTGATCAACTGATTTGAGTATTATTGACTACTGCTACTATTTCTACTATTTTACTCAATGTTGTGTCTATTTTTCATTGCTACCTCTTTATTGCAAGTATACACATTAGGAAGTGCTTGTCGAGCAGTTTTTTTGAAGCCATCATGAGTCGTCTTTATAGGCGGGTGTCCCCCAAGAGGCCATCACGCGGCGAAGGGAAACTCAGATGGGGCAATGGTCCCAGTCAGAGTCAATCGTGCGTTGCGCAGTGCTCAACGGCCACGTTGCGCAGTTTTGCTCGATTAGTCACGTTATCCCGCGCGAACATTCACACTCGCATGCTCAAGCCTTCTGTGTCTCTGCTCATACAGGGTGCGTTGAGGATCTCTCAACGTGCTGTTTAGAACTGCGCAACGCACGGTTGACTCTGGTCCCAGTGGCGTGCTGTACGGTATGAGACGTAGTACACTCTATTTAGCCTGACGCCTAACCGCCACAGTATGCGCTGCGACTCGTCCTTTGCCGCGCGATGGCTCATGGAGAGCACCCTTTATAGGCACCTTGTCAAAGACCGTAAAAAGTAAACATGTCAGCGATACTACCGCTCATGTCAAAAGCTATTTCTATTCGTGTTCAGTGCGCATCCCTTTTGGTGTACGTTGAATAAAACGAAACTTCAACATCAAGTCATTGAAGATTGTAACCCACTAGCTGATGTTGGCATGTCCAGAGTAGACGATAAGAATTCAACCGTAGTTTCTTATCCTGCCGCTTCGGCGGGATATCTCGGTGAACGCACGCGACGCTGAGCTTACGACTGGTTCACCCAGGATTTTACCGCTGCCATCCATTCATTAAATAAAAACAGTACGGAAAAAACAAAGGCCCCACAACAGCACGCTGGCAGGATTGGAAACTATGTGTTTTGTGCTTTTTGGTGCTCCCTCTCGTCGATCACCTGTGGCACAGCAGCCTTTTTTCCAAATCTTTGGTTGGTACATGAGTCTGCAGACGCAGTATTCTCTGCCATACGAGATTTTCGTTGAAAAAAAACGAGAAAAGAGGATTCAGGTGCGACGTACACATGACCAAATTTTCAGTCGCGCCGAAGTTTTTATTCGATTTTCGATGACTGGCACCGTCATTGGCGTGCTCTGGACTGAAAGTGTCCTTGCCTCTTACAGCCTGAGATCCTTTCCCGAAAAAAATTCCGTCCCATGACTTCGTCTACACTTTTCGAGAACCGTTTCTACAACGCACTCTTTCAATTTTGATAAGATTCGGCCAAGGTCATCCTTGAACCTGTGTAAGGCTTTCCCGAGCAGACCAGGGTCTTCAGCACTTTCACAAAAGGCCAAATTGTAACAATTTATAAAATAACCTCGCTAAAGTCTCAGATAATCTGTGTGAAGTAAGCACTTGAGTCAATTATTTTTTGATCTGGGAATGAACTTACTCTGAAGTGACATGGGATATACGTTTTGAAAATGCAATCTCAGTGTTTCTGCCGTTTCATCGCCGATGACTTCAGAACATGGAAGAAAGCCCTCATTGGGACGAATAGTTGTACACTTCTGTCGTAGGAATCGATCAACGGCGACGTTCTTGTCATCAGTACACAGCAAAGTGATTCAAAGGCAACACTGCGCCTCTTATGGTTGGCCTATTTTACTCAGAGTCACGCACCAGAGGAAGGAGGAAGATGCCCCGATTTTTATTCCCAAGCCCTCTGCTACTCGATCATGCTCTCTCATCAAATATATTTATGTGTTCAGTCGGTTACTACGCGCTCATATTCAACGACCAATGTTTACTGTACCGCTTTTGTAGTTCAGGACACATGACACAAGATATCGACGTCACTGAAGTCGGGAAGACTCCAGGGCTGGAAGTATGGAGAATTAAGGTGACTTCCTCAATACCGTTCTCATTTCGAAGTTCAGGTCTTAGTTTCTGGCTTCAAACTATTATTGCTTTTTCAGCATCTCGTTGCTTGTTTTACTCATAATCATTGAAAAAATGAAGGGAAACGGATGAAATATGATGAGAAATCCATTTCTGGGATATCCGTTCTCAATCGCAGTAAGACTTGAATGAGCATTTAGTTAGCTTACGCAGCAACTTGCCGCTAGCTCCTTACGTCACCGTTCTTCTCCTATGTATCTGTTTTAAGAATTTTACGCTGGAGGTGTAGAAAAACAAATTGTTCTTTGTGAGAATCAGTACACGTGGTAATGCTAAGAGTGTGAGTAGAAGCTGCGCTACATGCCAGAGAAGGTTACCAGTTGCTAGAAAAGCTAGGTTAGGTATCAACTTCATATCGCGATCGAGTATGACTATAGCTGAAAGAAATGGCTCAGTTTGTTCAAAGTTGTAGCACTAGGGCTTGACATTGCTACTACCTTTCTTATATGTATTAATCAATTGCGGGCTGAATGAAGAACGAGTTATTCCATGGGTGTGCCACGTATTCGAAATGACAACATCAGTCGTGCATTGCTAATAAGCGATGAATCATTGGTTGTTTAACTATTATAACAGCTGTTTTATTGGAGCTCTGGGAACAAGAGTCGCCGTTCGTAGAGTAAAGAATGACGGTGTGCAATGAGTACGCAGGAAAGCCTTTACAAAAACCGTCAGATGGGAGATTCTCGTGATTGATTTCACTAGTGAAAATGGAGTTGGAGAAGGCCGCTCTGTTTTGTTCCGCAGCTCTACCGGTAAGGATCAAGATAAAGCTTAGGATATCACTAGCGGTAAGCGTAAGAAATGTGATAACACGACCTTTCGAAGAAGCTTATTGATGAGAGCTGATGAAATGCCCTACATCAACGACACCAATCTTTTTTGGCACATCTCATTGGTTATTGCTTATCTCGTCTTTCCAGCCTACCGTCTTCCCCATAAACCTAGGCAAAAGAATCCCGTTCTTGGCTCAGGATCGCTACTCCTGGCATATCAGGTTGTCAGCCCATCTTTAGCAAAAAGCTTTTCTGGGCGGAAGTTATCCAAA